AGGGTGGTTATGCTGGAGAGAAGGAAGAAGGCATATCAGGGACCTTGTGGGCCATGGCTGGGATTCTAGGTTCTGTTTTATAGAGATAAATTCTCCTCTATGTCTCCAAAATGCTTCTACATACTTGCCATTTTATGTTAAGGAGCTCATTTGTCCTAGCGGGTACCTAAACTCAGAGCCATCCAGAAGCTAGCACTCTTAAGCACCATATCAGCTCTGCGTCCATGATTGGACATGCTCAGGATATTCACAGCTCCTCTCTGTACCCATCTGCAGTTTGGGAGTTGAGAACTGGGAGCTCGGGATGACTAATCTTCATTGCCAACTTGACTGCGCTTAGAGCCACCTAGGAGTCACACCTCCGGGCATGTGTGTGAGAGTATTTCCAGACAGGATTAGTGGAGAAGGAAGGACCCCGCCCAAATGTGGGTGACACCATCCATGGGATGGGGGACCAGACAATCAAAGGAACAAAGGAGCCGAGCATCAGCATTCATGTGTCCCACAGTGGAACAAGGAAAGTGGTTGGTGACGCTCATACCTTGGACTGAACTGTTCCCAACTGCCACGCCTCATCCCCTTGAGCCCTAGTCTAAAACAAAACCTCCCCAACGTAAGTTTCTTCTGTCTGTGATCTCTGTCACAGCAGCAAGGGGCGTAATGACTACAGAGTTGCTGCCCATTCTTTGGGAGAAAGTTAAGGAGCATATCTGTTTGCCCTGTATCAGGGCTTGGCATCGCTGTAAAAGATGCCTGCTTTATTTGAACAGACTTAGTTGCCATCTTAAATAATTCATTAGGAAATCTAATTTCTAATGGGAGACTCCAAGACAACAGAGTCAATATTAGGCTGGGCCAGGAAGAAGAGGACATGGGAAGAACAGCTGGGGCAAAGTCCCTTTAATAACTGATCTGACATCCAAGCCCTTCTTCTCTCTTGTTCCTCCTTTCCCAGCTCTATGCTTCCTTTCCCATGGCTTCTATTACCATGGAACATTCTACTGACACAGTTTACTCGCTGAGTCTGATCGTCATTTGCCAGATGTTTTTGTACCCTGCCACACGCAAGCTTCGCCAGGCTAGGGAAGGCTTTATGTTCCACTTACTGAGGAATCTTGAACATCTAGAAAGGCATCCAGAAAAAATTTCTTGACCCAATCTGCAGCCTCCACTTCCCCTTTGGCTCCTCCCAGTCTTTACTACCCGAGTCTTCCGGCATTTGGGAAGATCAAGTGAAATGATGCCTTACAGACCCTGAGCTATTGCGTGAGGTCAGAGCAGGGGTGCCGTCATGCATACCTGTGCTATTGCTTTAAAATGGATGGAGCATCACACAATTTTTGTCAGATGGTGCTCTGTTTCCTCACAGAGGGTTCCTCCTTCTCCTCCACAGCTCTGCTCACACGTGTGTATGTGTGTGTGGCCTTGTAATGTCCGTCTAAGCTGAGCTGTTGCAGAGATGGCTACAAGTGTCTGAAAACGGGGTACCTAGAGAAGCCTGGCAAGACTTAGTGAGGTGCTGTGTCCCAGCTTCAAGGTGGCTGTTGTCTAAGCCATCCAGATCGGTTACTTTCTCAGCCTCAGGCATCACTCGAATCTCAGCTCCGGTGGGGAATGGCCCATTTTCCTAAAATAGTTGATGTGGCATATTGGACTTCTGGCTGGAAAGAAGGCCTTTTGGGAGCTGAATTCTTAGACATCATGTGTTCAGCCATCACTTCACGTTCTGCACACCAAGAAACCGGGGCCCAGAGAGGTTGAGTAACGGTGTCAGGGTCACACAGCTGACTTTTTAAGTCTGAGGGCATTTCCTCCATAGGTGGCAAGACTTCCTGAGTTGACATGCGTGTGGAAACAGGTTGAGTCAAACATAGCCCTTGGCAGCTGGCTGGATTTCTGAGGGAACTCAAGCTGACCACCACCAGGGTTGTAGCTTCCTTGTCTGGGGTGCTTGGCCTCATAGACTCAGTTCATTCCCCACCTCCTCCTCATTCTCTGGCTTTTGCCTCCTCTGCCTCCCAGGGTAGTGAAAACTCTACTCAGAGCTGCTTCTTGTCTGATTGCTTCTGAGTGCTGGAAACACAACACTAATTAATGTGTCTGTGACTCTAGGCTTGGCTGCTGGGCTGGTCCCCATGCCCTCCCCGGAGCCAGGCAGACTTGGAGAGCTGGCCCCCCAGCTTCTTTGAGCGTGCTGCTGGCAGACGCATATTCTAACGGAGCACATCTGCTGGCTATATAATCTCTCGTATTTGCCCTCCTCACTTGGCGCTTTGACGGGAGACCTCCCGGGGCCTGCCTGTGCTCCAGCCAGAGTGTTTGCTTTGCGATTTTGCCGGAATACCATCTGATTCTGCCCTCACATCTTCCGCAGGTTCTAATCAAGCTCTTACTTTATTTAATTAAAAATCTATCTCAGGCAAATACAGAGTAAATTAGGAAACTCTCCTATTCCTGGAACACAGGGAAGGCCGCCCTCCTCAGGGAACTGGCCCAGACACTTTCCTGGGCTGAGATGTCACAGCAGAGCAGGTGGAGGGGCTCTGTGGGTCGGGAAGGCTATAATAACCTTAAGAATCCTCAATAGCCATTGCATCTGTCTCATCCTGAGACCAGGACCCTTTCCAGTGACCATTTTGACTTTAGGTTAGGGGCAGTATGAGGGGATGTACATCTGTAGAGTCTTAGCCAGACGGAATCCTGCTGGCCTAGAGGCAATCTACAAGACTGGGAGAGGCCCTGAGACTCCCTGGGGTGGGGAAGTGGGGATTCTTCACCCTTGGAAAACAGCTGAGGCCAGGAATGTGGAGCCTCAAAGCATCAAGGAGGCCTACAGGCAGAGCCTGGCAGCCTTTTCTGGCCCAAATCCAGTTTGCTTAGGAGAATGGCCTATGTAGGAGATGCCAGCTAGAGCTTCCTTTCTGTCTGCAGGAATAGTCTCAGAGTCTCGTTAGGGCCTTTGTAACTGGTCACCCTTCCGGTTGACCTCCAGGCTTGAATAAACACCTCACCCACACAAACCCAGCCCTGTGCCCCAGGCACAATGCCAGGCCAAGGCCATGACAGATGCAGAGAGAGAGAGAAGAGTGGATGTCTTTTAGAGGTGACCTCCAAAACAAATTTGGGCCTGTTTAGGTTGAATTCTGAGGCCCTGCCCTGAGAAGCCTGGCTTTTAACCAGGTGGACAGATGACATCCTGCTGGCGTTTGAGACCAGAAGCCTGGGCAAAGAGCGCTGGTCAGGAGCTGGAACTGTGGAATCGATTTTAAATGTTAATCAAGCTGTGTGACCTCCTGGGCATGCCTTTGCCTCTCTGAGTCTCTCCATGAGCGTATCAGTAAAGCACATGGAATAATCTGGAATTTCAATACTTTGTTGATGAACTGAGATAGCAGGGAACAAGGAGGCTTGACTGGTGAGTCGTCTGTACTCTGAGGACAAGGTGGTGTCCTGTTTTAGCTCCTGCATGCAAGCCTTCAGAGGAATGGATAGTGCTTAGGTCTTCTCTTTCTAGCGTTTTCTGGCAGCCCCATGGAGGGGTGTGAGGGGGCAGGGGAAGGCCTCTTGAACACAGGGATTGAACGGTCTCTGAAGGTGAACATCCTACAGCTTCACTCGGCAGATGTGTTCTGCCCAAATCGGGAAACATACATGGTCCCCAGCTTTCCCCCAACCCTACAATTGTGGACCCCTTCTCAATTTAGCCGCATCTCAACGGGGGGAAAGAAAACAGCTACTGCTCTCTAAAGTGTCCTTGTCTGTCCTCTAACACACACCCTGCCTGGCCGCGGCCCCCAGGCCATCTATTCCACAGAAGGTTTCTTTCCCGCCCCTTTTGGGCCAGGCTGGGTTGAGGTGGGTGAGTAGGCCGAGCTGCTATCTGGTCCTCTGTGGTCTGTCTGCTGCTGCACTTGGAATCCTGCACCCCTCGTGTTCAGCTGTGTAGATCTGACGGTACCCTGACACACTCTTAAATATTTCGTCTCAGAGCGTGAGCAGTGTCCCAGCTGCTGACCCTGTCGTCGGAGCTCCATAGCAGCTGCCAGCAGGCTGCCAAGGCCAGGCCGGGGCTTCCCTCTCTTGCCGGCTCAGGGTTCATCTACATGTGCCTGGAGATCAGAGATGAAACCTTATGGGGCTGGGGAGGTGGAACCAAGAGTTCCGGCAGGGGGATGCTGGTCTAGGCCTTTTGCTTCTCTGAGCCTCAGTTTATCGCCTGCAATAACAATCCCTGATCCAGTCTGGAGGAGCTCTGAGAGCTGCTGGGAGCCGCTTTGCAGCTGTGAATGAGCATCACTTATGTGTGAACTTTTTCCCCACAGTTCCCTTTTCTGGAAGACCTGGCCAGAGGAAGGAGGTGACAGGGCCGAGCTCTTAAAACTGGGAAGCTCAAGGAGCCACTGAGCAAATCCCCACATCTTCAGACAGGTCTGTCCCAGTGAGGGCTGTCCCGGGGACATTTGAAACAAAGACCAAGGGGGAAAATGGTTAGAATAAGGCCCCGAGGTGAAATCTCATTGGGATGACCTGAAAGAACTGGGATTGGGTCTTTGGTGATTCATGAAGTCATGGAGGACCAAACCCGAGGCTTCTTCTTCAGAGAGGTCAGGGCATGCAGAGCTTTTCTGGCCCCTTTGGTGGTCGGCCTTGGAAGAAAGGCCACTCATACCGTGTACGCTCTCTTCTGAGCTTGCATTGCTGCTACGGGCCTGGCCTTATTTACAAAGCTGAGCACCCAGGATCCTCAACTGCTCGCCAGTGTGCAGCCAAACACGCTGGGTGGGACAGTGACAGGGGGTGGCAATATGATTTCCCAAGGAGGGGGTCTTTTTTAATCCCCCTTCGATGGGAAGAAAGAGGAGAGGGCAGGAGCGGGGAGGACCAGACGGGACGATAGCCAATGGAGAGCGTCCCTCCTCTAGCTTTGTCAGAAGGACCCCGCCAGTAGCCGAGCCCTTGGTGTTTCCTTGAGTCCTTATGTTTGTGCGCAGGTGACTTACCCAGGACTGTGAGGCGTGCGGGGCGGGACCGGATGGCAGCTTGGATGGCCTGGCACTCGTACACGGCGTCATCCTGCAGCTCGGCCCGCAGGATCTTCAGGTGATGCTCTCCTGACAGGTGGTTCCCCACCACCAGGTACTGGGGGTAACCTGGGGAGAAAAAAGCAGGAAGTATGAGAGATCGAGGTAGTCCCGTGGCTGATTACTGGGGCCTATTCGGAGGAAACTCTCTTGGAAAAGGAAATGCGCATCTAGTGAGTGGTGGCTCGGGCAGAGGTCTTCCTGTCAGAGTTCCTCCCTTCTGTGGAAGAAAGATCTTTCTGGAAGGTGGGCTAGGGGTCTGATATCTGGCCTGGGCAGAGCTGACCTCAGGTGGCCTTCTGGTGACATATACACAGGACACTTTATTATATGACAAGACTTCCTCTGAGCAGCTCCCTGCTGCTTCTTTACCCAGCTTACTGGACCGCCCAGCCCCAACACACAAGCCTTTATTTCTTTATTTTTTTTTAATTCATTTCTTTCTCTCCTTAATTGTTTGTTTCTTCACATGTGTGTGGACACAGACATGCCACCCACACAGAGGTCAGGGGACAACTTGTGGCAGTCAGTTCTTTCTCTCTATCATGTTGGTCCCAAGGATTGAACTCAGGTCATCAGGCAGAGCCGAGCCATTTCATTGGCTCTCTGCTTGTATAGCTCAGTGTTCTATCAGAGCCCCGCCCCCCACCTCTTACTGAGCCTCTTACTTCATGGATGACTCCCGTGTTTCCTTTTGTTCATCTGTGCATTGCTGAGTTATCTCATGGGCTGAAATGACTGGGCTTCCAGAGGGAAAAGAGAGCAGTCGCGCTTCCCTCTCTAGCTCAGGGGGAGCTCGCGTGGTGGGGTGGGCACGGGTGGCAGAGGCACAGCCGTGGGAGCCCTCTGGCACGCGATCAGGCCTTTAATCTCAGTGTGTGTCAAGGAGCACAAAAGCAGTAGTTTCCCAGGATGGTGGTGTGCGTGCGTGTGTGTGTGTGTGTGTGTGTGCGCGCGCGTGTGTCTGTGGGTGTGATGCTAGTTCTAAACTCTAAGGAAAACGGGAGAAGCCAGTGTTGGATGCAAAAGTATAGGGCATGTTGGATAGGCAGACCTGGATATGGGGTAATGCTCTGGGAAGTGCTGTCTGTATTCAGTGGAGTTTGCTAAAGGGGATACTAAGGGGGAAGGGGAGAAGGGGGCAGAGGGGGAGGGGAAGGGAGGAGAGGGAGAGAGAGACTGATTCTGAAATTCACCAAGTGCACCAAGCAAGAGAGAAAGGGAATGAAAAAAAAAGGGAGAGATTTACTTGGAAAGGATCAAGGGGAGAAGTTTGGTCCCCAAGAAGCAGAGGATATGGCCGTGCAGCCTCATCCTTCAGTCATAACGCACTGTGCACCTTGAATCATGGCTGTCCATTTCTGAGCATTCCTACCTCCCATCCCTAAGCCCCAGGGCCTGATTAAGCACTTAGGAAGCACTCAGGACACTTAGGAATTTGGGGCCTCAGTATAGACACACTGGTGATGAATAATAGATTAAATAAAAGTTTGAAGATGCTGAATCATTCAGCAGTTGTTGCGGCCAGCCGGCTGACTGAATACAAACATTGGCTACAGCCACAGCCATAGACTGGGGCTTGCCCTTTCTGGGGTCTTGGGCTAGAAGCCTCTTATCCTGTCGGCTATTATCCTTCTAACCCCTCACCTGACTTCTGCTTTTCTCACATCCTTTGCTCCATGGGATTCTATTGACTCTGCCCATCTCTCCTTAGAGACCACTCGGGATAACCTAAGGGTGGTTGAGAGATGGGGCAGGGCTCTCTGGGGGTGCCTATTCCTGGACAGTGGGGGCGTGGGTAGCCACGGTCTCCCCAAATACCAACCAACAGGTTCTGTGAGCTCTTGTACAACTGAGACCATCCTCATCATGACACGGGAGGACCCTGATCTCCGCAGCTGATCAGGGCCGGCCAGAAATGCTGCCCAGGGTCAGCTGCACCAAAGGAGGGCACTGTTCACCTCTCACTCACTTTCCTGCCTTCTGATGGGCAAAGGCAGTAAGCCCAGGCAGGTGAAGCTGGCTTTCCGACTGCTGCTGGCCTCTGTGCTGCTGGCCACCCTGCCCTCCAGCCTCCCCTCCACCCCCTGCTGTTCTGCAATTAGGTCTGTCCCCTGCAGGCATGTTGGATGGAAGAGGTGTCTTTTTTGTTGATGTTGCTGCTGTTGTCTGGCAAGCCATCAGCAGCAGGATTGCACTCTCGCTAGCTGTGGAAAACATCGGTGATGGGTTTGTTTGTATTTGCCTAATTAGACAGCTAGAGCCGCGATGCTATCTCAAGGATTGGCAGCATCTTTGGAAAACACACACAGGAGTAGAGCTTCTGAGGAATTTTCTAGCCTTTTCCACGGGATCAGAGGTTCAGAGTGTCTAGCTTCTAGTCACGTTGTGTAGGTTCAAACTCCAGTTTATCTCTTCCTCGCTCTCTCCCCCTGGCACTTCAGCTCTGTGTCTCAGCTTCCTTGCTGGTAAGTTGAGCACAATGCTGGTCTCTCATGGGTGAAGATTAAAACGGGGTAGTCTATGTAAAGTGCCTCCTGCATACTGAGTATTCGACATAGGAGCCCACTCTGTAGCTAAGGCTGGCTTTGAACTGATGTCAAGTCTATACGAACCTCCCCAAATTTACAGGGGTCAGCTACCAACATCCACTCCTATCTTCTATACCCGCTAATTTGAATACAAGTTGAGGAGCCTGCTGGGCTCAGGGAGTAAAGTCTTACAGTGCAAGAATGAGGATCTGAGTTCAGCTCCTCAGCAGCCCACAAACTGGGCATGACTGGATTAGAGGAAAGGGGCAGAGAACAACAGATCCCAGGGCCTTACTGTCCAGCCAGCCCCGCCCACTGGTGAGCCCCAGGCTCAGTGATAGAACCTGTCTCAAAAACTAGGTAGAGACTGACTGAAGAAGACACCCATTATTGATCTCTGACTTCTATATGCACACATGTGGTGGTTTAAATGAAAATGACCCCCATAGGCTCCTAGGGAGTGGCACTTTCAGGAGGTGTGGCCTTGTTGGAGTGGGTGAGGCTTTTTTTTTCTTTTTTTTTGAAGAAATGTGTCACTAGGAGTAGGCTTTGAGGTTTCAAATGCTCAAGTCAGGGCCAGTGTTACCCTTTCTTCCTGCCGACTGAAGATCTGGATGTAGAACTCTGAGCTACTTTTCCAGCGCCGTGTCTGTCTGTGTTCTACTCTGCTTCCCACCATGATGATAATGGATTAGCCTCTGAACTGTAAGTCAGCCCCAATTAAATACTTTCTTTTATAAGAATTACCATGGACATGGTGTCTCTTCTTAGCAAAAAAAAAAAAAAACCACAAGACAATGTGCATGGGCACACTCACCTGCACACACATGCATACATATGCCTCTCTCTCTCTCTCTCTCTCTCTCTCTCTCTCTCTCTCTCTCTCTCACGCATGCGCACACACACACACACATGCATACATATGCCTCTCTCTCTCTCTCTCTCTCTCTCTCACGCACGTGCACGCACGCACACACATGCATACATATGCCTCTCTCTCTCTCTCACATACACACACACACGCACGCACGTACGCACACACACACACATGCATACATATGCCTCTCTCTCTCTCTCACACACACATACATGCATACATATGCCTCTCTCTCTCTCTCTCTCACACACACACACATGCATACATATGCCTCTCTCTCTCTCTCTCTCTCTCTCACACACACACACACACATGCATACATATGCCTCTCTCTCTCTCTCACACACACACACACACATGCATACATATGCCTCTCTCTCTCTCTCACGCACGCACGCACACACACACATGCATACATATGCCCCTCTCTCTCTCTCTCTCTCTCTCTCTCTCACTCTCTCTCTCTCTCTCTCTCTCTCTCTCACACACACACACACACCCTCATTCGCTGTGGAAAAAGTGCCAATGTCAGGGAGTTAGAGTTGGGGCGTTCATCTTGGAAGGGAACAGATAGGGTTTCATGGACTGAGATCAGTAACATAATTAAATCATTTTTTTTTCCTCAACCGTTACTGTTTACTTTTCAAATAAAGTGGGGCAGGGTGGAATCTTTTTCTCCCTGTGGACAATCATGGATTCATAAGGCATCTGAGAAGTACCGATCTTCCCAGGAGAAAAATGTTCTGTCTGCTCCTGAGAACGTGTTGACAAATATTCTCTTTCTAGCGTCTCATTCTTAGTGGCCAGAAAGACACTGCGGTGTCAGCGAGAGACTCATGTCTAGTGCACTTAGGAAGGTGACATGAAACAGAGGAGGATGGAGCTACAGCAGCAGGAAGTCCTGACTGGCCCTCCATTTCCCTGCCTTATGCACTCAGCAGATCTTGCTGAATTCAGTTGTATTCTGTTCTGTCCCTACTGACCAGGCAAGCAAGCAGTGTTTATGGAGCCCGTGAGAACCTATCATTATTGTCAGGATAACGTTTGTGGATAGATGATTAAATACAGGGCAGATATTTCTCAGGAGCCTGAGCTTGTGGCCTCTGCAGGAGAGAGTCCAGGGCCTGTCTTCCTTAGTGACTGGGTCAGGCTGGAGAGGCAGCCAGCCCAGACTTGTCCTTAGCACCCACAGGCCCAGATCCTGGATCCTAGAGAGCGAGGTGTGGAGCTTCAGATCAGAGATGCAATTATCTATGCCTTGATAATCACTTTATAATCTGTCCCTAGTGACCTTCATTTGGCCACTGACCTGATAAGACACTGCCCCTGGCCAAAGGCCGATGATATCATTAACCAGAAAGCCCAGACTGTCCCCCTCATCAGTCATGGTGTTGGTCCAGGCTCAGAGCTGCCCAGGGCATAAGCAATTCTCATTTGGGAAGGTCATAGCGTCCCCTCATATCTCTAGGGTACCGGAGCTGAGCATCTCTGAAGTTGGCCAGTTCCCATAACACTTAAACTTTATGGCAACACAGTATATTTTGGAGATATTCTCCGGTATTTTATCTATGCTCAGCTGGGCTGCAGCATCAGGCCCCGGGACTACTATTGACCATTGCTATAATGTTTCAATATACATGTTTGGCAAGACATAATTCACATTTTAAAATATTAATTTCCCAGTGTTTCTGAGTGCACTTTGATTTTTATTTTTCTGCAGCTGTACAGCATGAACGAGGCGAAGCTACTTACCATTCAAATGTGCATTTCTCATACATCCTCCATCCCCAGCCATTCCCAGATGGCCGGGGAGTGACACTCAGATCTGTCCTTCTGCACGTCATGCACTTCAGCCCAGCAGTCAGCCCCTTTCTTACCCATCCCAGGACAGAATAATGACGGAACAGGCAAGAGACATGAGGATGTCTGCAGTCTCTATGCCCTGGGGAAAGTGGGGGTTGGCAAGGTGTTTGGATGAGATTCTGAGGTAGCCATGCAAAAGAGTTACCAAATGACATGGCCTGGCACCAACAGCAGAGCTGACATGCCAGTCAGCAGCAGCTGGAGGAGGCCCCCATCGTGCAGCTTGCCTGGGTGGCTGAGCAAGGCTGGCAGTTAGTGTAAACCCTTCCTGTCTTTTTTTCCCCATCATGAGATGAATCTTAGGAGAAACAGGCGTTCTTCTGAGTTTTCAGTTCATTGGCTGTCTCCTTGGGTGGGAAGCTAGACCATGTCTTGATAAATGAGGATTTATATCGGGCCAACAAACAGGAGCACTTATTGTTTGGAAATCAGACTTCACGGGAATCACGTTGATTTTAGAACGGATGCTGTGCTAGGTTTAGAACTGCCCAGAAGAGTGAGGATCAGTACTCATAGCCAGAGCCCCTTAGACTCCTAGGGATCTCTGTCCAGACCTCACCCGTCTGGAAAGTTGAAGAGCTGGCTGGGACTTGGAACCATTAATGACATTGGAGATGGAATACGGGAGTTCCATAGTGGTGAAGATGGGGTGAGGCAGTGTAGGCGCTGGGCCGTTGTGTATGAGTGGGAGAGTCTAGAAGTACTCACTTGAGAGATCTCTTCCTACACCAAGAGCCAAGCCGTCCTTAATCCACAGGACGAAGCCATCGTATTCTGGGATGGCACACAGCAGCGTCACTGGCTGTCCTGACACCACCACTTGGTCCTGGGGCTGTTGGCTGAAGGAGTAGACTTGGCCTGGGGAGGGAAGCACAGTGGTCAGTCAGCGTAGGCAGCAGTGTCTGGATGACTCTTTTCACACCCTCTAAGCAGAGTCAGGCTGTCCTGAAGGTACCAGCCTCATTCTCATCTTCCAGGGGCTGTCTCTGGACTCCAGACTCCAGCCCCTCCCTTATCCAACCCTGATGTTGACTTTGGAGATGAACCTCAGCCACCACGGGACACATACCTCTTTTCTTTTTGTGGGATTCTCACCTAACTCAGGAGTGATGATGGCTCTAGTTCAACCTGGCAATGCAGACAATCTGAGTGGCTGGTAGGGCCTTGGCAGGACCTGGTAGCTGTGTTTACCCACATCTTTCTTATTCTATCCTTTTCTGCAGTTAGCTCTTACAATCTCCCCCTTGGAAATCACTTGGGAGTCTATACCTCTCATCCACACCTCAAAGCAAGATGCCACAACCATTGAAGCTATTGGTTCATATTTTATTAAACAAATAGTTTGCTGCACACATGAGATACTAGGCCCTGTGCTGAGATTTTAAACATGAGCTCATGAATTCTTTCATCCTGCTAACAACCTAACCACAGCAGGCACCATCTCTATGTGGAGATCGGGAGGCTGGCATAAGTAGGGGACAAAGGAGAGTAGCGCTGAGCTGACTCTGTACTTGCAATGCTTGGTGTACGGCCTGGGTGTACTATGCTCTCAGTGCCCCCCTGCAGACAGCTCTGCAAAGACTGGGAACTGAGGCATTTATCAATGGCTATCTGAGGCAGGTCGGAGGCTGTGAACCTGTCTCGTTCTGGTTCTGAGGGTTGTTCTTATTTGCTGAGCTAGGCTCCATGCAGCTCCCCAAGCCTCAGTCTGGGGACAGTCACTAAAGACCGTGGGAAACTGATACCGACGACCTGGGATTACTGCACTCCCTTCTCCTAGAGAGAATCTAATGTTTCAGGGCAGAAAAAAAAATCACTATTTTATACCAAAGAAACCAGGACCGGAGAGGCACAGCAGTCTACGCAGGATGACACAGATAATGAGTGGCAGAGCTGGGGCTGGGATGACACCCACTTGAGTTCTGAGCCCTCAGTTTTTCCCACCCCATCCCCAAAGAGAGAGATACTGAATGGTGGGAAAAGAGGCTGGGAGCCGGCTGCTACCTCCTTTCCGTATCACCACAGATGACCTGGACTTGAATTGCTGCCCCATACAGGGCTAAACTATGGGCACATGGAGAGCTGAGGTGCAGGGGAGGGCATGGGGTCCCAATCAGCAGACAGTAGGGGCAGCAGGAACTTCTAGAGTTGACAACCTTATGGGATCTTGGCAACCTCTCTGAGGAGTCTTATTAAAAATCAAATTGGTTTGGAATTGTGGGAGTAACACTTTTTCTTCTAATTTAAACTTTACAAATTAGATTACATAGGATATTTTAATCAGCTCTGGGTAGTGTTTTTTTTCCCTACTCTGTCTCTTAAGTTTTCCATTGTAATTAGGCTGTTTCTGGCACCAAAACAAGAGAGAAAGATGAGACAGAAGAGAAAGAGGACCGAAGGGAGCAGCCATAAAGTGGGGGTCCAGAGAGGGAAGAAGGAGAGTGGGAGAGGGAGGGAGAGAAGAGACAGAAAAAGAGAGGAGAAAGAAGAGGCAGAAAAAGAGGGAGAAAGAGACTGGAGATGGGAAAAGGAGGGAGAACAGAGGAGGAGGAAGAAAGAAGAGGAAAGAGAGAAGAGGAGAAGGGAGGAGAGATGAAGAGGACAGGAGGAAGGATGGAGGGTGGGGAAGAGAATGGAATGGAGAGCAAAGGAGGAGAGGAATAGGAGAGGAGGAGAGGGAAGAAGGGAGGAGGAAAAGGAGGATGGAGAGCAGACGGGAGGAGCAGAAGTAGGAAGAGGTGAGGATAAGTGGGGATATAAAGAAGAGGAGGAGGAAGGGGGCAGGGCATCTTTCCTAGGCTTCTCTTCATGCTCCAATCTTTTATCCTGGAATGTTTTTTTGCAAGGACAGTGTCAAGGCAGCTGCAGGAGCAGCCAAAGATGGTGTGATCAGAGAGAATTACCAGGTTGTCAGCAAGGGGCTCAAGGAGAAAGCCCTAAAGGAAGGGGGTCCAAGCTTCCAAATGTCCCTTATTAGGAACTTCCCAAGGAGGTGGCTGTCTATCCATCATACCCCATCCTTTTTATGCTTGGTAGAAGGAACAGGAGATTGTTGAAGATGCTTGGGGCATCCGTTCCTCAGGGCAAGAGTGAGTCCAAGATGATCATCATGGAAGTCAGGCCATTTGGATGATAGGGGACACTGGGAGAAGAGGTCAGTGGCAACACTGGGGAGCTAACTAGGGGTAATCGCAAGGCCACACTGGAGGGCTTCTCAGAACCAGGAGTCGGAGCATATACAGGATCTGCCCAATCACACCTGGAGGGCAAGGCAGGAGAGGTCAGAGAACTGCTTAGGTGCAGTTCTGATGGTGGTAAATGGAGCATTAGTCACCCACTGTTTATGTTGGGACCCCCTTGGATTTTCTGTGAAAAGCATGTTTCTAGGGGGAGAGGGCACACAAGTCTCAAATCATCCAAAAGATGTGATTTGGAAGTTATTTTGGGGAGAGGGGTGGAGACTGAACACCCCCAAACAAGAGTCTTTTTGGTTCAATTTTAATATTTTTGCATTATGTTCAAGCCACTAAAATTACTGTGTCTCTTAGTGCCAGGTGTGGGATACAAGGCCTTGCAAACAGCATCGGCTCTTGCCGTTGCTCTTAGCTGCTCACTGTAACTAGATAGTAAAAATAGACACTATGATGACACACAGACTTAGGTTCTAGAGATCAAGCCAGAGCTGAACTGAGAACTTTGTTTCCACTGGCTCCATTTGGGAATGCTAGAAGGTGCTATTCAGGCTGCAGGAGAAAAGGCACTAATGGAATTATCCAACGATGTACTCTGAATGATACATACTAACGTACCAGGTAAAATGTGCCCACTGGAGCAATAGTGGCATGATGGTTATAGGGGCAACCAACTGCCTTCTGATTGGATTTAAGGCCCACTCCCCAAAAGAAACTATTTAAATGGGCAAGTTGTCAGACTGTCTTCTAAATCTTTATGGCTGTGCCCTAGCTTTCACTGTTTGTTGGAGAAGCTTTTGTGTGTGTGTGTGTGTGTGTGTGTGTGTGTGTGTGTGTGTGTATGTAGCAGTCAGCAGCTAATATAGATTTATAACCAGTCAGAGTGTTGGGAATAAGCAACTGCTGAGTGTTCATCTGTAAATGAGGTATAGCTATATCATCTCCCACCCCCACTCTTCAAGGCCCAGGGAGCAGAAAGAGTGGACAGAAAGAATGTTAGAGCTGGAGGGTGGGGAGGTGTGCTATGGCATGCTGTCTTCTGGGCCTGGATGGCCATTGCACTCATGAGCTCATTGAGGCTATGGTTGCACAAGACTGCAGGAGCAAGCCATGAAATCAGCCAGCATTCCAGCACACAGAATGGGGAGAGCCAGAGGGACAAGTTGGGGGTAGATAGGATCAAGATACATTTGTATACATATATGAAACTGTCAAAGAATAAATAAAAGATATTAAAAATAAATAAATATACTTTTTCTTTGAAAGTGGAGATGCTTTTAATGATGGCTCTTAAACTTGGTAGATTAGAAAAGTCACTGAAAGTTGGAATCCTAGAGTAGAGCATGAAACTCTTGATCTCAGAGTCATGGTTTCGAGCTCCATGTTGGGTGCCAGTTGTAGTTTTTGCTGGCTTGTTGCTGCTGCCTGTGTGCAGTCCCTGTTTCCTGGAGTCAGGGGGTGAGAAGATGCAAAGTCAATGGTACAGACCCTGGGAGATTCTAATACAGAAGCTTTCTATTGATAACAGTTTGGGGATGTTTATGGGGTTAGGGAAATTAAACTGCTACAGGAACGTTTCCGGTTGGTCCTCTGGAAACTGATGGTCATGGCTGGCGGGTTGTGATTAGCTAGAAGCATGCATCATTAGTTACCATGCCTTTGGTTCACTGACAGGTTGTCTTGGCCAATTTTGCTTACTCATTGTAAGTTTGCATGCACTTGCTTGTGCTTACGCTATTGCCCTGTCTCTCTTCCGAGCATTTTTCTGTCTCCTCCTCCCATCTTGCCATAGGATTGATGTAGATGTGTCCTATAGATCCTGTCTTCATAGGAATTTGGGGATTCAAACTCAAGTCTTCATGCTTAAGTGGAAAGTGTTTTCCCTCTGAGGCATCCCCTCAGCCTGGGGGTGTGCTCATGGGAGGAATTGTGGGACCCTACTTTTCTCTCTCCCTTGTTTCTCAGCTTGAAGTGAATAGTTTTGTTCTACCAATTACCTAGAGGCAATCAAACCCCTTGGACCAAGCCCTGGAGAACCATGAGCCATAACAGCTCTTTTGTTTTCATAAATTGATTGTCTTAGGCATTTTCCACATGTCAGAAAGCTGCTGAACACTCAGAGGCTCACACAGATGAAGAAGTTTGCCCAAGTTTACAACTTTATACTGTTACCCCAGGCAAAACTCGGTCTTGAGAGTCTGTGCAACATCGTTCTTTCAGTACTACTCCAGTGTGGCTAAGGAGCAGAACACCTGACCCTAGTCCAATTCTCCTTAGTGCTCACACCACCATTCAGATCTCCCAAGGGCCTTTGGAATGTAGAGATTCCTTGGGCTTCCCCTGACTCCATGTCACCCCCTCCCAAGGTGCACGTACATGTGGCATGCTTAGGAACAAAGAACTGGCTTCCAGGCTTCACTTCTTCTGCAGAACTTTTCCATTATCTTTTTAATTAACCACCTTAAGTTTCCCTTCCTCTTGAGACAGGGTCTTGTTATGTAGTCCGTATGACTCCTGAACTTGCAATCTTCCTGTATCTGTCTCCTCTGTGCTGGAATAGCAGTCACGTGTCATTACCCCTGTTCTACTTTGGGCTTTGTATAGAATGTCTTTCCCCTTCCTTTGGTGTCATGCAACTTCCCTGGGTCTTTTTTCCCTCTCTACAGG